TGTAGGATTGTACTGTCAGTGACATAACTTAGAGGTAAACAGAAAATGCATGTATATAAAAAAGTAAACCATCAACATAATTTTACCTCCTTTCCTGCAATTAGAAATATAGTCTCATTCATATGTGCTGCAACAAATAAAAGTTACTTGTGGAAGTTTAAGGACTATCAGATAAGCTTAACACAAAACTCCCACACTGTCCCAACATGCCCAGATAGCTAGTTATATATCTCTTAAATTCTATGTCTGATAGTGCATACATGTCAGAAATAGAATTTAATCTCAATCTTGCACACTTACCATTTTAACTCAATAATACTTAATTTTGAATAGACATGTAGATGCTGGCCTGCATTGCTTTTTCTTCTGCCACTGATGGTGCGGGGAACTGGGGCAGCGAGGAGGCCATTTCATCTGCCTGCCTACCCTGCTCCTAGGTGTCCAATCAGCTTTGCCCCAGCAGACATAATAAATAGGTCTGGATGCAATTCTATTGCTTCCCCAGAAACTCTCAGTAATTTTCCAACCGTTACTCTTCTGGACCACCAAGCAGAAATGGGATGAGATGAATACACTATACTCTTTCCTAGGTATTACCGGTAGTTCACAGATAGAGTGCTGCAAAGGTGCTGGGACAGATATTCCTGTTGCCATGTCCACCACTTTTGCACCCATTTTGGCTGGTTCCAGAGATATTGGAACTGGCCCTATAGCCTTACCCCAATGCAATACAACTAAATTTATGGAAATGGTAGGCCAGACTTGCATACCAGGCTCATAGATCACTGCCCCCCCCCTTCCCTATCTTGAACCAATACTCTTGATGTATCCCGTTATTTAAAAAGTGAACGGGCCTTACTTAATCAATCCTCCTTTACAGATTACTTAAACAAGTTGTGTTCACAGAGAAAGCTATTTTTAACATTGATACATTTAGTACGCTCAGATGTGAACCAGACATTTCCCTGTATAATTTGGATTTGATATGACTATGTAAAATGTCTACCCAGATATGTTTTTTAAAGATAGCAGTTGTTTGTATTTGATGTAGTTTCATTAGATGTTGCTGAAATTATTTTGCTTTGATGATAGTAGACTATGTTTAATCAAACTTATTGCTGAAGTTGCAATGTATGTATTCTGGCATATGCTTTATGAAACCCTTTCATGTAGTTGGCTACTTTGTGGCAAGTATTTTACAACTGAGGAAGTTTAGAAAAATTATCTCTTTCAAAGGAAAAAATAGGTATACATATCCCTTCCTTTGAGAATCTCTCAGTTGAGAGGAACCATGTCACCTTTTGCTTGTATTCCAGCCTTGTTGATTCTGGTAATTAGGATTTAATAATGGTTTCTCAGCTCTGCATCATTAATTATTACAGTACATTTATAATGCTAACTTGCACTCTGTAATGTTTTATAATGTTTTAATGCTACTGATCTTTATTATTGATAACGTTGTTAATCTTCTTTTCTGTAATGCTTAAGTTGTACTAAGTAAAGGGAATATATAACCTATGTGCCTAAAGATTTGTCCTTGAATCTGAAAATTTCTGTGCGCTGATAAGAAGGGGGACTAACCCTCCCCCTTTAATGTGGCAATTGTTGCAGAGGGAACTGAGGTGAAAAGCCAAACTGTCAGACTCTGTGTCTGCTACATAGAAATCAGGCTTAGATTTCCCCTCTGAACAGAGCAAAATTGTCACACTGCTACTCTACACATTGGCATGTTTTGCTTAAAGGGTTCTGCAAGGTCTCATGCTATGGTGTTCGATATGGACATGAAGCTCCTGGATGAGGTCATCCATAGACCTGGGTTGATTATAGTCATCTGATTTTAGGAAGGTAGTGCAAGTCTTCACCCAGAGTTTTAGGGCAGAGACAGATAAACAAACAAGCATTATTTATTTTATTAAACCAATACCCCCACCATTCCTCGAAGTTCAAGGTGATGTATATGCTTCCCCAAAGCCTGTCGAATACACTTAGGATTGTTCTCACAATGGAGGCAAGTACGTCCTACTTAATTCGTTCAATTTGATCTATCATCATTCATAACCTATGCCACCTACAAATTCTTATTTCTCCCCAAGTCTTTCTTTCAGTCCCTTTCTTAACACTGCATTTTTGGAGTCACTGTCTTTCCATTATCCCTGCCATCACACAATTTCTTATTTCTTCCTCTGAATACATAATGGGACATAGGCACTAAATCCTCTCCCTTTCTTATCCCATTCTTCTCTATGGTTTTAATAATTTAACCAGAACCAATGATTACACTACCATTTATTATTATAATCATCATTACTATTTAAATGCAGGATAAATACTAAGAATCGCAACAGTAGCGAGCCAATATTTTCCTATAGTATGAATAAAGTTAAGCAACTGAATTAAATAAAATCAGAATTAAGACTATACTACTTTAGAATTAAGACTATACTACTTTAAAACAACAGACAACACGGATTAAATTTGCTACTAGAACATGTATTCATTGGTCTCCAGAAAAACAAAGTGCTTGAAGCAATATTACTGTAAAACAAAATATTCACAGTTCCTGTTCTAATAAAGCAACAAGAGTATTCATCACACTAACTTCACTGGCAATGGCAGAAACTATGTTAAGGACACATTCCAAATCATTTAGTGAAATCTACTAAGGGCATTTTGTGGCATGTGGAAAAACATAGTTTAAGGAACAGTACCATAAATCTAGCATGAATCTAGCTCAGATTGTTTAAAATATCAGAATAAACTATACACTGAAGCCAGTGTGGTGTATGAAAAATGAAATTCCAGGCATGACTTTGGTTTTGAATTTTATCCTGAGTGTTACTGAATGCAGCATTTCTTCCTCAGAACAAATAGGAAAACAAAATATATATCTGTACAGTTGTGTTTGAAAACTATCGAGCTGAAACCAATTTTCATGTGACAGCCGCAGTGCAGATACTTGGCAATATGATGGTGCTGAATGTTAATCATAGCTACAGTCTAGAAACAATTGCCAGCTACTTCACTTATCATCAGAATTAACAGCACAACCATAATTGTCTTATGTGCTGCATGTTTCCTGCTGAAATAGTAGTCTAGAGAATAAAATAAATTATACCAATGAAAAAATGCAGACATATTTCCAGAAGCTAGCTTAAGACTGTAACATCTTTCTTCATATACAACAGTGCCCAAAAGAGAAATGAATTTAAATATACATATAGTGTATATCACCTTACACTAGACTAAAAATAGAAACAGTTCAAACAGTTTCAAAACAAGTCAGAATCTAGCCATTGGTTATGAAGCTGCCTTGTTTAGCTATTAACTGAATGAATGAATGATTTATTATAGTAACAGACCAATATAATTAGGTACACAAATAAAACATACAGCTAGTTAAAATCATTTAAAATAAGATATCCCAAATAAGATGGAATTCTACAATACTTGACTATCCTCTTTCTTTCTTGGATGATACTTTTTGTTTTGCCAGTTTAATTTTGTTGGACTGATTCATATCACCAGCAAATTGCAGAGAGATTACTGCTTGGTTGTTATCACAAGAAAGAATTGCCTTGCTGCATCATAGCAGTGTCCTCTAGAATCTAGTCCAGCATTCTATCTCCAGTTAGATGGTGGAAGCTTAAAAGTAGGGCATGAAAAAGGCAGCCACCCCCCAATTTGATTGTCAGTCATGTACTCCAACAAATACTGGCTCTTAATACAGAGCACAATAATTTCAACATGCTTCATTTTAAATGCTTTAGATTTAAATGTTTTTTTACCAAAATCCTCAAAATCAATATAACATTTTTAGATGAAAAAGTGTTTGATTGTTATTCAAAGAATTACACAGGGTTGGAGGCAAAGAATCATGAGTTGGAAGGAAAGGAAAACAGCTGCTCATGCTGTCTTGCACATGCTTGTGAAATATTTCTTACAGTGCTAAAATAGTTCTCTTAGTTTCCTGCTTGCACAAATAGAAAAACATCTTTGGTTTTAGTTTCATTTTTTTTTACACAATGTTCCAGCTTGGGATATAAAATAAAAGCAAAAAACTCCTTTTGTATGCAAAAAAAAAGTGCTTTGGATCCAACTCACTTTATTTTTATTTTATTTAACAAATTTTATATGAAGCTTGATTGTAGGGAAACCTCTAAGTGGTTGACAAAAAATATTAAAATTATCAATAAAGATCTAAATATCCTAAATATTATTCTATGATGTACAGAATGAAAAGTAAATAAACTGCTTATGAGCTTAATAAATGTCAGTACTGAAGACTATGAATTAAAAATAAGATTGTGCATTAAAGACCATAGAATAAGAAAATAATCATTACTTGCTCAAGCTAAAATAGCTTTGATCTTACAAAACAAATTTATTTTAGTCTAGGACTATAACTATTTATTCATTTTACTTTATTCTAGGACTATAACTTCTCATAAAATCCCCCAATGTGTAAACAGGCATGCTAATATAGGAAACATATTCTTCTTTATAAACAAGCACAGTCTATCAACCCACACTGTGAATGATACATTATACATAAAGACCTCAGTCCAAAGAGCTGCATACTGAGCTCTGTATGTCCTCCACAATTTTTGAATCATTTTGTCCTGACAGCAGCACCCTGAGCTGCTTGGGAAGCCTTGGCCAATTCAACAATCCCCCAGTGTAACCTAAGGAACAGCTGTTGGGGATGGGGGTAGAAGTGAGAAAATCCTATGAGCAGAAGCAAGCTCTATTTGCCCCTCAAGGGCTACTTGGATTGCAACAACAAACGTTATGTACGGGTATCTTAAAATAGATTTTTTTTTAATGTATTTCATTTACCAAATTAAAAATAATATTATTTATACAACAGCATTAGATATCCATGATTATGGGTGTATATATGCAAATGAACAAAGAAAACCTTAACCCACCATATCTTTTTCTCCAGTTTGCAAGCTGCCGCTCGTGAAAAGTATGGTGTAGATGGTAGAATGATACTGTACCTGATTAGCTCTGGAGGTGGTCATGGGATCAGATGGAGAGGACTTGGTGGTAGTTGGGGATGATGGCAATGTCTGGGAACAAAGCAGTTCAGGAGCAAATCAACCTCAACAAGCCTTAGACTGAACAGTTAAAAAAAATTAAACAAATGTAATGTAATTGAAAATTAAAGAGAAAAAGCCTGAGACCTAAATTTTTCTTTCTCATTGGAACTTAATGGAATTTAATGCCAATTAAGCAAATAACTAATGCATGTAAGTATGCATGCATATGCATGTAAAACAAATTAATGGCTTAAAATTAAGATGGTAAACTCACAAAATAAAAAAATATGCTGACCATATGAATAATATTTTCTTTCCCATACTTGATTCTAAGGGAAAGCAAAAACCAGTAGAAGCAAATACAAATTCCAACAAGTTCAATGAGCAGATGTCGAAGTTTATATCTGATATAATATTCTCCCTCTCATTGCATCTTGATTTTTGTCTTATAAAGTTGACTCCATGTATATTTAGTGATCCATATAATACAAGAAATACTGCCAAATGGTTGGATCCAGAACTTCATCCACAGGATGCTCCGCTAGAGACAGGGTGTGATTTTCACTTATTTCCCCCTCCGCAGCTCCTGATGCACCCTGAAATATTGTTCTGTAGGGTTGAAGACGTGGGGCCAGCAAAGGAGGTGGTGCTGGGGGTTGTAAAGAGAAAGGGAGAACTGGTGAAAATCACCTTGCTCTCTTCCTCCTGTGGGAAACTCCACTAGATCTTCATCCCTTATGTGAGTGGAACAGCAAGTCTGGATGCAACCCAAAGTTCATAAAGCAAAAGATTTCTACAGTATTTATTGTTTTTTCTTTAAAGCAAGTCATGCCATGGATAACATAACAATTATAAACATTGCAACTGAACTGCACCAATATACTTATCATTTATGTTATAAATACTAAACTAAGACAAATTGTTAATAAGGTAGCATTAGTTGATGTTTAAAACAAGTATTTATTCTGTGTTAATATTTTTCTTAAAACATACAGTATAATTTTAACACGCTAAAGAATAAGCATTGATTTGAAATATATGCACAGACTCCAATATGATTTGATCACAATGCACAGGTTTTAAATTCTATTGAGGCAGCCATCCTTCAATTCAAGATTGAATGGTTGGGGGTTTTTCTTTGTGAAAAATATGATCAACAGAATTAGGACTATTCTAACGTATCTGAAACGGTGGCAACAATAATGTAAGGAAAAAAGAAATCTAAATATTTTACAGTAAGTAATTTATAAAATGTATCAATATATGTCTAAAGCTATCTCTAGGAATGGTTAATCCAAACAGTAAATGTTACAGTTCCTGAGATGGCCACCATGCAAAAATATTTTTTGGCGAGGACCTATGTAACAGCTGTAAAGTGTAAAGCAGCTCTGAGACATCAGCAATGTAATCATGCTTCTGCTTAAATTTCAGTTAATTAAAAACAAAACAAATACCTATGAATTTCCTTAGAAAAAAAGAATTAATGCAGCAACGCTTTCTAACTGGCTTGAATGGCTGTCTGAAACCAACCAAAGGATGCATGATAATGTTTCTGTCTAATTGTTAAATATTTTGTAGCCTAGTATATAAGATGAGAAGACAGATAACAGAGAGCACATTAAATTGAAATCTACACCCCATCATGGAATGCTACCCATGAATTGGAATAATAGTTGGAGGCAATCCAATGGATCATCTTCCTGTTTAGAAGAACATACTATACTTAGGTCCTCTTCCTTTGAAAACCTGTAAAGGAAATTCAACAGCTTCTAAAAATAGCTTAGTTAATTTCTTAACTGCTATTATAGTCATGAATGCTTTGCTAATTTTCTCCCTTCATATGGTTTTAAAACTATTCATTCTATAGACAGAACGACGAACTGATTCTGCATTGAAGGAGGAACAAACTGAGGAGTATTCAGCTAGTTGTTCCAGTATATAAATTAGGTAATAGCCAGGGTTTTTTGTCAGCCAGAACTCACCGGAACTCAATTCTGACACCTCTCAGGTGGGTGCCATTGCCATTATAAGAGAACAAGGGAGGCATTCATGATGAGCACCTCTGGCACCTCTTTTTCTAGAAAAATAGCACAGGTAATAGCATATAGTAAGACCAGGGCTTGATACCTACATATTTTCCAGAAGCACTGCTGCTTGTGCCACATCTTATATTCATGTATTTGATTTCATTGCACACCAACTTACAATAGACCTTCCAGCTACTGTTTCTTGTGCTTTCATTATTAGAGGATATAATCTAGATAGAAAGCCTTAAGTTCAAACACTTCAAACCTCTTCTCTTTTCGCCTTGATACTTAATCAAACTAAGGAAACTAGATGGCTCTGTCATGAATGCTATTAATTACTCCACTTTCATGTAGGTACTTATAAAACGATTGTATTACACTAACTTCACAGGGACAGATATGCCAAGGAACCTATAATTCCTTTGGTCACTTTTTGATTTATCTTAAGTGTTAGATTTTTCTTATAGAAAATATCATTGTCACAACGATCTTGAGAAAAAAATCTGTATATAATAGTTCCTTTCTATAATAGGTAGTAATTTTAGCTATTCATGGCCGTAATTGTAGAAAGAGAGGAAAACAAGTGTTCTTGCAAGATTACTGTTCTCCAGGGAATGCAGTCTCCAGCAAGACGAAACAAGAGCTGCAGTACCTATCAAAAGTCTTTATCCACAATTTATGAGAAGAGGTAGAAGAAGGCTATAGCCATGGATGCGCAAAATTCAAACTCTGAACGCTAATGGTCAAAGATGTGCAATATTTTAATAAACATTCACGTGTACTTTAGATACCTTGTATCTAAAGTATGTGTATTTTAGATACCTTATTGTCACAAATACATACGGAAACTATGACAATGTCATGGAAACTATGACAATGTCAGAGTAACCCTATATAAAATGATTTCATTGATGGCTATGTTATATTAAAAAGCAAGAACACCAATTGAAAATATAAATGCTGCTTGTTGAAGAACTACACATAGTAGTATGAATAAAATTTCAGTTGGTGATACTTCTACTGGTGAAAGAGTTAGCAAATCAAAAGCTTGCACTGAACAGCAAGAATTAGCCTTAAAAAACACTAACCACATATATATTTAGCATGTCAACATTCTCAATACCGACTAGCTTGAGTAGGTTCCTTTTCTGCAGTTGCTGACATATTTTCACAAAATAATAAAGCAAGAACATTTAAAAAATCATTTGTAAATGTAGTCAGGAAAATTGCCATATATTCCCTCTATTTTTGTCTGTCATTAAAAATATGTACAACCTCTTTCATCATCAAAATGAAATGAAATCTTAATGATAGCAGAGCAGACACAACAACACTTGAGTAAAGCATATATCATGGATACATCAAGCTTGGATACATCAAGAAACACTTATCAAAATAATTGGGATAAATAATTAATACAAAACATCCAAGGTGTATTGAAGTGGATTCGGCAACATATTCCTCAACAATGCATACAAATTTAGAAGGAAGTTTTTATGAACTAATATTCCATTGCACCAGCACAGCTGAGATGTTTATATATTGACACAGTGATTATTTGTTGGAGATGTGGATCATGGAATGCAGATATGCTTCACATTTTTTGGTCATGTTTTAAAAGAATGTTAGTTTAGAATACTATAATTAATGAAATTCAACTCATAAGAGGTTATGAGCTACTGGCAAAACTATTAGCAATATCACATGTTAAGGAACTGGTGATTAACGGTTGCTCACACAGCAATTTTGGAAAGTTGTTTTTTTGCCTGCCATCTGTTCGCTATGAATTAGAACACCCAATATATCTTAACCCAATTTTGTGTGATGGATCTTGAGATTGAAGAGCACAGTCTGGTCTATGTTTCAATACCATCAAATGCTGCTTTGAATCAAGTTGTCAGAATGAACCTCTCAAAACTGCACTGATTTGGACACCTCTGAAGGTATCGTAACTGTCATGCCAACACAGGAGAAATCCTCTTCAGGGGTGGATGTGTTATTCCCGAAAGCACACATTATAGAGGAGCATGCTGTGTCAACAAACAGTGAAACAGAGCAGAGGTATCCAGGGTCTTCGGGGATCACGACACCCCACTCTTCTCCATAAGACACAGACGGCACCTGCACAGAGCCCACGGGAGTGGCAATGCCTAAAGGTGCAGTCTCCTCATGAGCAGTTGAGATTCCTCAGACAATCCAAATGGGCTGCAGCTGGGTTCTGAATGGGGCTCTTAAGGGCTCATTGTTAAACGCCTTCAGTTCCTGATAAGAGTACTGGATCAATACCCTTGTATAAGTCTTCTGATATGCCTTAGCTAGCAAATGGGATCAAAACCTATCTATCTATCTATCTATCTATCTATCTATCTATCTATCTATCTATCTATCTATCTATTTTTTTTATATATATTTTTTTAAAAACCTAGGACTGCTTCCAGACCTGACCTCTTTTGTTGTCTGTATGCTTTGTCCTTGGACTGTGATTATATCTTTCTTTTTGGATTGCCCCTGTGAATGGACTTGGCACTACTGAATTTGGTGTCAGCTGAAGCAGGAGAATCATCAAATTTTGCATGATGGTTCCTGAGATTGAGAACCATCTGTCTGGCAATAGCATCCAGCTATAGCCAACCAAGATCATGGTGTGAAACTTTAAAACTGACTGATTTTAACTAAATTTGGCAGGATTGTATATTATTGTTTATCCAGCAACATTATATTTTTTTTAAAAAAATAAGGAACTAAAAATATATATTTTGCATTTATAAATCTCAGAATTTTGGTGTTTCTTAGAAATCCTGAGCAATGCGTGGTACTCTATAGTACAATGGAGGAAAATATTTATTCCTATGCTAGAAGACAGGATAGTAAGATTGTGTGAATTAGCTCGTAAGGTATATTTGATTAATATTGTGAGGGAAGGTAGGCAATTTGACAATTAAAATAGAATAGGCTTATTGCATACTGGAATAATTAGATAAAATTATTCAGCCATATAGATCA